TTATTTTTATAATGAACTTGATGATTAATTAATGTAAAGAAAAACTTTCTAACAAATACCTTTTCATATTGAAAAGACATTCTTCATATCAAGCTATAGTTATTTCAAAGATGGTGTTGCCTTTTCACTTCAAAGCCGAAATTATTCCTAGTATCTAATGATGTATGACGAAACTTTTGATTTTAGTCATTGATGTAACTAAATTATTGACTAGAGGTAGTTTCCCACTAGGCCATTTTGACGATTTGACTAAAGTAAAAGCACTTGGTGTAATTAAAAATATTTGACGCAAGTAAAAATGCTTGATACAAGCAGCAATAATGATAATGATAAAATAGGATTACCAAAAGTGTAAAAATGTGTGTCCCGAGACAAATAAAGAATTATTATATCATTCTCTGTATATTGCAATGATGCAAGAAGAATAATTATCATGAAGTTTATAAATGTTATAATTTAAATTAGAAATTTTACTTTATTAAATTACTTTTTTTTTTCCTTTTTTCTACAAATTAAAAACATTCTTTTATTATTATATTTCATAAAATGTAAATGTTTTTTCAAAATTTTTGACTTTGAAGTTGGCTACGCGTAACAGTGATACGCAATAATATTAATAGTATGCTTGAGCTGTCTTTGGTGTCTGAGTTTGAAATAACATAGATTGATCAATATTGGTACTTAGAACGAACGACCTTTACATAACACATAAAGACAGGTTTTGATACATATTTTCATAAGTTTTAATTTTGTTTTCTATTTTTATCACTTTTAAATCTTCAAAGAATTTCTTTTATTGTTGAATCATTATTGTTCTTTAAATAATGCATCCTTATCGATTAATATTGATATTAATCAAAAAATGTTGTACGAAAAATTGTTTGTTACACGCCATTCATTCAATTCACCGCTCCACAAAAAAAAAGTTATTAAAATACCAAGTCGACTTTTATATTTTATATTTTATATAATGTCATATAATAAATTATTATCATCGTTATCACAAGAAAGAAAGGAATTTGTATTTAAAAATTTTAAT